GGTCTCTTCTACCATGCAGGTCCTACCTAGGGTCTCACACAACTCAAAGGCTTGTTACAAAGTACTTTTACCAGCTCTATTCCCATGCTGTGTGTGTGCTTTAGTTTTGAAAATTTGTACCGAGTACTGCTGACATTGTTTTGTCCCTTCTCTGTCTCCTTCTGACTCTTCCCATGCCTCCACTACCACTTCCTCCCAAATTCATGACCTCTTTAATTATCATTATTACATATTCTTCCATAGACACAGCTTTCTGAGTCCATTTAGTGTTGCTTGTATGTACATGTGTTTAGGACTGACTGCTTAGGATTACATAACTTTTCAGGGGGTTCTTCTCTTGAGAAGACCAATTCTCTCCTCCTCAGTAGCCACAAATTGCCCCCCTCTTTGTTTAGGAGTGGTTGAAGTGAGATTACCCCCCCCATACACTTTGGCATGTCGACTGGTATTGTCATTGTGCAATTCTTCTTCAGGTGACCACATTGTTCAGGTTCAGTGTCATATAGAAGGTACTATATGTGGCTCTTGGGGTCCTTCTGTGTCTTCTGTGATGTTCCCAGGGCATTAGGTATAGAAGTTGTGTTATAGGTGTATCAATCGGGATTGGCACCCCACAGTCAATTGTTACCACCAGATGTGGGTTTCTGTAGTGGTCTCTATCTACTTTAAAAATAGTATTTCTTGATGAGAGCTGAGGTCTACACTTGTGAGATAAGTATTTACAATGTAAAGGAAACTATTCTGATTGATGAAAATGGCAGTGGTGGTTTCTCTCTAGGATCCATGTCCTCATCAGCCACAAGGAGTCAGCTGTCTTGATGTGCTTTCCCCCATGTTTTCCTCTAGCGGTTCCAAAGTTTTAGTGTTAAACTAAAGCCCTTTGAATTGGTCTCTGTACCAATGGACTGGTTTGGATCTACTTTCGTTCTTCAGCATTTGTAAATCATGCTTTCCTAGCTTCATTGGTTGAAGACTCTCGTATTTTCATCAATGTATGTTTCTGTCACCTTTGTCAAAAATCAGGTGATTATTTGTGTTAATTTCTTGATCTTCTTTTGTTTCATTGATCTGTATCTGTTTTTGTGACACCAGCATGCAATTTATTTTACTGTAGCTCTGTAGTATAATTTGTAAAGAGGTATC